TTGAAAATGTTCATATATAGAAGGAAGGAATTTCTTGTAAGTAGCCGAATGCCGAATCAACGCGCTGAGTTAGTGACAACCACAACCGACTGTTGCAAAGCGATCCCGGCCAGGAATTGGCACAGGTTCGCCAACACGATCGCAGCGTAACAGTACTATCAATACTGTGCCAATTCCCGTCAAATTTGCAGCGAAGTCTCCGTGTGAAACATAATTATTGATTACAGCGGAGTGTTGCTTCTGTTGCAAAACAGCCGACGCCACCACCTCCTAGGACGACGTCAGACTTCGCGAATCGAGCAATTTGTTAGTTTCGCGGGCGCGTCGCGGCCAGTGAATCGCTCGATCGGCAAAGTCTGACACCGGCCTTACCCTTTTCAGACATATTGCAGCATTCTGGTATGCAGCAAAGGAACTCAGCTGCGAATCTGAATGGTAGAAACGACAGAGAAAACGGTAGAGTACCTGATCCCATGCGATCTCCTTCCGGAGCCACCAAATGGACGTCCGCGAAGTAGCGAAGTTACAGGGGCGAAGGCATCGTCACGTGGGAGAATCCGATAGCCTTGAAATACAAATAAATAGATGACCAAACATTAGCAATGGTGTCGTAAGCAAATCCAGGCGTATTTGTAGGACACTTTTGGTGGGGGTCCCAGTGTGAAAGGCAAACAAATAAAGAAAAACAAATAGCAGCGTAGCTATGAGAAAATGACGCAATGATCAACGTATGCCACAAGAGGGCACTTCTTACAATGAGCGTGGCTAGTTCTTTTTTGTTTAACTTCCCGTGTCCTCCCGCTCCATTTTACGTGGGATACACACTTAAGCATTACTTTGTTCTAAATGAATTAGGTATGAAGTGCAACGAGGAGCGTGAGTGGGGAGAAAAAGCAAAAAGCGCCATAGAAAACACTGAAATTTCCCTCGAAGTCGGCCGTAATATGACGGAGAGAAACAGCGCTGCGAGGAGGGGGAAAACGCGAGGGTGTACATACGTCGTCACCAGATGGTGCAAACGCCATGTATGACGCGTTGATGGCGTGGCAGCGCCGGCAGACAAGGCAAGGTCTTAGAGCCATTGTTGCACACTTTGCACGCCAGTGTCCCGGCTCCTGAGTTTCAGAATCCCTCACTCAATCTATGAGGGACCACCTCTTTGCACCTGATCCCGACCCGTGGCTTTTAGCACTTTGATTCAGCGGTTCGAAGGTTCCACAGTGGCTGAGAGGATCTCAGAGATTCGAAATTGTGCAGTCAAACAAGGCTTAATTCCTCTGGATTGATGGGTAACAGATTACCCATAAGGATAGGAGCATTAACTCGAACATCGCTCAATCTTCCAAATCGTGTTATAAGCCTGTCTTCACAAATCGTTTTATAAGCCTGTCATGTTTTCAATAGCCACTGCAGCCTCTCATAGCAGTAGAAAGCATGGCTTATCCCACAAAGAGACTGATCCACGGCGACCCTTTGACTGGCTTGA